AGCATCGTTCCAAAAGATCCTGGAATGGACAAACTCGTCCCCAACCAATCTAGGAACGAACACCCTTGTTACATCCAGTCCAGAAACAAACAACCTTGCTCTGACAAGTCCAGGAACGAACATCATCGCCTCACCAAGTCCAGGAACGAACAACATCGCCTCATCAAGTCCAGGAACGAATAATATCGCCTCACCAAGTCCAGGAACGAACAATATTGCCTCACCAAGTCCAGGAACGAACAACATCGCCTCACCAAGTCCAGGAACGAACAACATCGCCTCATCACGAATAATATGCCTCACCAAGTCCAGGAACGAACAATATTGCCTCACCAAGTCCAGGAACGAACAACATCGCTTCACCAAGTCCAGGAACGCACGCCCTCGCTCCTACAAGTCCAAGACAAAATTCTCGCATTTTTCCTTCCACTGGACAATACCAAATTTTACATTCATGTTTACAAAGAGAACCTCTCGTTAAGGGTGCCTGCGTCCTGGATATTTAATGCTGAATATTTATGCTCCGCTTGTTAAGTGTGATTCAGTGGTCTGTTGTGCCCTGCAGTTTACACACACACACACACACACACACACACACACACACACACACACACACACACACACACACACACACACACACACACATATACACACTGCTGGGAAGACGGGACACCACGAGCGTAGCTCTCATCCTGTAACTACACTTAGGTAATTACACACACGCACACAGACACACACACACACTTAGCCTGGTGTGCTTAGGAACCTTAGGAACATTCATCAACCTCTCCTCTTACAAAGAACAGCTGCAAAGGATTGAAAAAATGCGACATGTTTACAATTATTAAACAGCTGATGAGCTCCGAAGCACCAGGAGGCTGTTTATAACAATGATTACATTTGACTGTGTAGTTTCCATGCTCGTTAACTGTTTACTAAATGTAAACAAAGCCGCCAGAGATAGAAGGAAAGATGTACAGGTTTCTAAGGAGATGCTCAATTGGTTGTTGAATCCTGGCCAAGGCTACTCAACCACGCGAAATATAAACGATAAATTAATATGAATGGAAGGATTAGGAGAAAGTACCAAGCCATTACGACTATATAGCACTGGGAAGGGGGCCAGGATAAAGATTTGGTATGGGACGGGGGGGAAAGGAATGATGCCCAACCACTTGGACCGTCGGGGATTGAACGCCGACCTGCATGAAGCAAATCGCTCTACCGTCCAGCTCAAGTGGTTGGGCGCATAAAGAAACATTAATGTTCACGTTGTGTCCGATTACCCGCTAAAAAATCTTCCTACCAAATCCTACTTAATTATTAAAGCTTGAAAATGACACATTTTTCCAATTCAACAAAATTATACTTGAACAAAATATTTTAATCCTGTTTAATGAGAGTTATATTGCTTATTTTCCCGCCACTTTTACATAGTTTTTTTTTACATTTTTTTAAATAATAATTTTTAATAATATGTCAACATGGTGAGTATGTTGGCGCGAGACGCTCTTTAAACAATACACCATGAGGGCTGTATGTTGTGTATGAAAATGCAGCATACAGTACTGTCTCGTAATGCATTCAAAATACATCACTTCATGCAATACCGAGTATACATTACCTCTTGTAATATACTGAACCTCATACAGTATTCAGCCTGTCATACACCACCCAGCCAGTCATACACCACCCAGCCAGTCATACACCACCCAGCCAGTCATACACCACCCAGCCAGTCATACACCACCCAGCCAGTCATACACCACCCAGCCAGTCATACACCACCCAGCCAGTCATACACCACCCAGCCAGTCATACACCACCCAGCCAGTCATACACCACCCAGCCAGTCATACACCACCCAGCCAGTCATACACCACCCAGCCAGTCATACACCACCCAGCCAGTCATACACCACCCAGCCAGTCATACACCACCCAGCCAGTCATACACCACCCAGCCAATCATACACCACCCAGCCAATCATACACCACCCAGCCAGTCATACACCACCCAGCCAGTCATACACCACCCAGCCAGTCATACACCACCCAGCCAGTCATACACCACCCAGCCAGTCATACACCACCCAGCCAGTCATACACCACCCAGCCAGTCATACACCACCCAGCCAGTCATACACCACCCAGCCAGTCATACACCACCCAGCCAGTCATACACCATACACATATCGACCCGACGCAAGCAATAAATATTATCATGATGACCACTAGTTTAAAGTCCTCATTTACCAGGTAACTCCTCATGCCGCCGGAGCTCCAATACCCACTCCCTCACCTGGAAATGGAACTCATAAACTCATGGATTTATGAGGTGTGGCCGGGTCGGGGTGAGTGGCCGCCCATCAGACCCGCAGTCACGCTGGGCCAAGCACCTGATTCACGCTCTCGGCCACTCTGAGCCACCCCCAACTTTGACTCTGTATAGTATAATCTCACCTTCATGTTCTGTGTACTGTTATGCTGTGCTAAACTTAAGTAAGGTTAGGGTAGGGTAGGGAAGGTTAGGTTAGGGTAGGGAAGGTTAGGTTAGGTTAGGTAAGGTTAGGGTAAGGCTGTGTGGTTAGACTGGGCTGCTATGGGTTAGATTAGGTTAGATTTTTTCAAGAAAAAAATCTTTGGAGCAGGGCGTTGGGATCGAATGAAGGTCCAGTGTCACCCATCGACCATGATGTGCTTGACAGAAGCGACACAACGTGTAGGTCGGGTGGACTACAGGTTGTGCAGCCTTGTACACGTCGTCGTCCATGGGGTAAAACGATGGTTCGATCCCGCCGCCCTGCTGCAAAGATTACCTCTCTATCAGTACAGTTTCTGTCCAACATGATCCTTCTGATATGTGACTGAGTTTGGTCTCGGATATGTACTTTATATTACACACACACACACACACACACGGAAAACAGAGAGATGATTAGCTTCCAACTAAAAGCCAGTTCCCAAATCCCCACCGATACCTATTCCAGTTTTTTCAAACCCATTACGAGCTTATTACAAAAGACTTTGCTTAGTCTTCACCTTGGACTGTAAACTGGAAATCTTATTTCCTGGTAATTGTGTGTGGGTTCTACCCATTTTCCTGAATGCCAATTAGAACAATTCCCTCAGTCACAATTACGACACAATCTGTGGATATTTCTGTTTACCTTGTGTAGGTGAAACAAAGGTGAGAGTTGGAGGGTGTTGAAGCAGGTGTTTGATACGTGGGATACGTGTTAGTAAGGGTGGTCACCTCTCCACCCCTAGCCACAGGTATGTGTCTTTCAGAGACACATACAAACCCAGCCATATGTGTCTTACAGAAACACATACACCCCCAGCCACATGTGTCTTACACACATATACCCCCAGCCACATGTGTCTTACACACATACATTCCCAGCCTCATGTGTCTCAGACACACATGTAGCTGGGGGTGTATGTGTCTTACACCCCCAGCCACATGTGTCTTACACACATACACCCCCAGCCCCATGTGTCTCACAGAGACACACACACCCCCAGCCACATGTGTCTCACAGACACACATACACCCCCCCCCCAGCTTGACACAGCAACTAACACCACCTTAACTTTAGCACTAAATCAAGATCATTGCTAATACAAACTAATAATAAGCTCATCAAATAAAGGAGTTGCTAGGGCGAGACTGGAGATGAGCTGAGGTATTGCAACAGCTCTCACCTTGCAATAGTTTCCTTAGCAACATCACTGCAAGTCCTAATCATCTCTAGCTAATTAACAATGTCATAAGTGAACAATACCGAGAAGGGATGTTGATCGTAGGCAGTTGAACGAAAGTACGTGAAAAGCTTCGCTCACTGGTGCTAAATGGTAATATTATTTAAGTGCTCAGAACCTCAAATCGTCCCAAGTGTGAATGCTGAGTGTACGAAATGTTTTGGAATATAGTCATCGAATGATGAGTTAGTATTAGTCCTTTAAATTGTATTGTCATCGTCAGACATTAATGTTGCGGTGTTGCTAATGATTGAAATGTTTGTATATGTATTTGTAAATGTGTGTGGACAAAGGCGAGAGAGAAAGAGAGAGAGAGAGAGAGAGAGAGAGAGAGAGAGAGAGAGAGAGAGAGAGAGAGAGAGAGAGAGAGAGAGAGAGAGAGAGAGAGAGAGAGAGAGAGAGAAAAGTGTCTTTTGTCCCGCCGTCAACAGTGTTGGTATACTGGTGTAGGAGCCGCGCCTCGCTCACCACCAGGCAGTAAACTGTGGTCCTCTTTGTCCTCTCCGGGCGACCCGCCCGACCTTTATTTATCCATGGAAAATACAAGCGAAATCTTGCAGCCGATCTGGTGTACTCTTGTCCAAAGGCTCTTCTAAAACATGCGACACACAGCTGCCAACTCTGTAATTACCCGGAGTAGCGGCGAGGGTGACATGTAAACAATATGGGCCAGCGATGGCAAGGGTGACTTGTAAACAATATGGGCCAGCGATGGCAAGGGTGACTTGTAAACAATATGGGCCGGCGATGGCAAGAGTGACTTGTAAACAATATGGGCCGGCGATGGCAAGGGTGACATGTAAACAATATGGGCCTGCGATGGCAAGGGTGACTTGTAAACAATATGGGCCAGCGATGGCAAGGGTGACTTGTAAACAATATGGGCCGGCGATGGCTTGGTGCTGGGGCAATCACCTAAGGCCACCACAACAGCTTACTGGCCAGCCAGAAACTAAAACAAACAGATACTTTTTTCCCCTGAAAATAGTCCAGGAATAAAGTAAGCTCTCTGTGTGTATATATATACGCCGAGAAGATAGCGTATATATATACACACCTCCTAGTGAGTATATCCCGCTGGGTTATTCATGATCTTGATAACGGTTTGAAGATTGGAATACGATGTCGCTGATGTATCGGCGCCTGAGGGCCACAACGCCCTCTGGAGGTGGCCGTGAATAGGATTCTGTGGAATTTATCTAAAGCGTTTGTATCTTGTTTCGCGCGAGGCTCGAATTAAGGTCCAGGTAGGGATCGTCTACTGGGCCCTGGAAGAGGTCTACTGGGCCCTGGAAGAGGCCGTCTACTGGGCCCTGGAAGAGGCCGTCTACTGGGCCCTGGAAGAGGTCTACTGGGCCCTGGAAGAGGCCGTCTACTGAGCCCTAGAAGAGGTAGTCTACTGGGCCCTGGAAGAGGTCTACTGGGCCCTGGAAGAGGTAGTCTACTGGGCCCTGGAAGAGGCCGTCTACTGAGCCCTGGAAAGAGGCCGTCTACTGAGCCCTGGAAGAGGTAGTCTACTGGGCCCTGGAAGAGGTCTACTGGGCCCTGGAAGAGGTAGTCTACTGGGCCCTGGAAGAGGCCGTCTACTGAGCCCTGGAAGAGGCCGTCTACTGAGCCCTGGAAGAGGCCGTCTACTGGGCCCTGGAAGAGGTAGTCTACTGGCCCTGGAAGAGGTCTACTGGGCCCTGGAAGAGGTAGTCTACTGGGCCCTGGAAGAGGCCGTCTACTGAGCCCTGGAAGAGGCCGTCTACTGAGCCCTGGAAGAGGCCGTCTACTGAGCCCTGAAGAGGCCGTCTACTGGGCCCTGGAAGAGGCCGTCTACTGGGCCCTGGAAGAGGCCGTCTACTGGGCCCTGGAAGAGGTCTACTGGGCCCTGGAAGAGGTCTACTGAGCCCTGGAAGAGGCCGTCTACTGGGCCCTAGAAGAGGCCCTCTACTGAGCCCCTGGAAAAGGTTACGCAAAGGGCGATGCACAAGAACATTAAAAGAAAGAAACGATGCAATAGGCACAACCAATCTCCATACAAGACCAGCCCTTACTGCACCAAAAGCAACAGTGGCCAGCACACACAGTTCACAACCGAGAAGTGTTCGATTCCCCTCGACAGTGCACACACGTTTAGAGACGTAATCTTTCACCTGATGCCTCTGTTTAGGCTAGATATCTTTCAGTAGGTCTCGATAGACCTATTACAGCTACTTACGAAGGCGATCCATTAGACTGGTTGGCACAGAGGTGGCCTCGCGTATCGCAGGGTCAGAATTCGATCTCCAGTTGCCCAAGTTGTCGGTCATTGTTCCTTTACTCATTCCTTTTATCCCAGTTATTATCTTTTCCATATATTCTAGCACCTATACTTTCTAGGTGCCTATACCAACCTCATCGGCGCCGTGGAGAGGGATGGGGGGGGGGGGAGGGAGGGAGACCTGCTGCATGGGTAACAGCTTCTCATCCGTATCAACCCACCCTGGCTTTGCGCCCTGGAGAGGCCACTCCAGACTGACAACCAGAGCACAACTCCATAGTCTCCTGAGACTGATGGATGACTACTATGAGAGTTTTGCCTTGGGAACACTGACAACTGCTATGCAACACTGACGGCTGCCGTGAAACACAGAGAACCTCTGCAATGCTGAGCTAAGAGTTCCGTTAATACTCTGACGCAATAATTAACTCTCAGATTTTTACCAGCAACTCTCTCTCTTTTGCTGGCGACTCTTAATATGGGCCAACTCTTGACGTCATTTACACAACGACGACCACCGAGGTAACGAGTTTGTTCATTAATTAATCCTCGTTAACATTATCCTCCTCTTCTGTGTGCTTGACAACGGATAATAAAGCCATGTTAAATGTTTATTTTTGCGGCATTTTCATGCTAACTCGTTATTTGTCATTGAGGTCGTCAAAGTCTTGAACGAGTCGTCACCTTTGTAACTGAGGTCGTCAAAGTCTTGAACGAGTCGTCACCTTTGTTATAGAGGTCGTCAAAGTCTTGAACGAGTCGTCACCTTTGTTATAGAGGTCGTCAAAGTCTTGAACGAGTCGTCACCTTTGTAACTGAGGTCGTCAAAGTCTTGAACGAGTCGTCACCTTTGTTATTGAGGTCGTCAAAGTCTTGAACGAGTCGTCACCTTTGTTATTGAGGTCGTCAAAGTCTTGAACGAGTCGTCACCTTTGTCATTGAGGTCGTCAAAGTCTTGAACGAGTCGTAACCTTTGTCATTGAGGTCGTCAAAGTATTGAACGAGTCGTAACCTTTGTCATTGAGGTCGTCAAAGTCTTGAACGAGTCGTAACCTTTGTCATTGAGGTCGTCAAAGTCTTGAACGAGTCGTCAAAGTCTTGAACGTGTCGTCACCTTTGTCATTGAGGTCGTCAAAATCTTGAACGAGTCGTGACCTTTCCAATCTAACAGACTTTACTCCTTGAAGGCTTCTCAGCGAACTGGGTAATTAATTAATGACTTTGCCTTCAGAGAGCGAGAGTAAGAATTAATTTTTTTTAAGGAGGTGCCATTTTATTTTATTTAATGTTCAATTTTAATTTACAGTAACATTTACAATGAGCAGATTTGTTGATCTTTGTGGAGGTTATTGATAGTTTTATAGTTTTAATGAACTGATATATTGTTCAGGTCACTGGTGAGGGACAGTGAGGGTCACTGAGAGAGAGAGAGAGAGAGAGAGAGAGAGAGAGAGAGAGAGAGAGAGAGAGAGAGAGAGAGAGAGAGAGAGAGAGAGAGAGAGAGAGAGAGAGAGAGAGAGAGAGAGAGAGACAGACAGACAGACAGACAGACAGAGACACAGAGAGAGACACAGAGAGAGACACAGAGAGACACACAGAGAGACAGACACACAGAGAGACACACAGAGAGACACACAGAGACAGACACAGAGACAGACACAGACACAGAGAGAGAGAGAGAGAGAGAGAGAGAGAGAGAGAGAGAGAGAGAGAGAGAGAGAGAGAGAGAGAGAGAGAGAGAGAGAGAGAGAGAGAGACCCTAATTACCATACTGGCAATTCAGACGTCACACACCCCGGCTAAAACAACTAATACATGTACTCTAAGGGACGTTGCATCGTCTACAATTTGCATACACACAGCAGAACCATTCGTCATTCGTCCGGACAGAGGGATCCTCTGACTTCCTGGAGTCCGGGAGGTAATTGTCCATTACCGGAGATATATTGACCTTTTATTAAATTTATGATTGACATTGTAATAATATCCCTTGTTGTTAAATATATTACCTGCGTCTCTCTCTCTCTGTTTTAATGGATGCCGTACAATGAGTGTGTGTATTAACCTAGTTATATTCACCTAGTTGTGCTTGCGGGGGTTGAGGTCTGCTCTTTCGGCCCGCCTCTCAACTATCAATAAATCAACAGTAACTAACTACTAACTAATTATTCCCCACCCCACACACACAGGAAGCAGCCCGAAACAGCAGCCCATTCTTGAAACTGCAGAAGGGTCAATAAGCTCTCTGTAGTTTCCCCAATTCTTACACTCTACAGAAGTGTAAGAATTATTGACTTTTGGTCATTATGAAAACTAATGACCAAGAGAGCTGACAGTACGCCATTTGCAGCTGACAGCACATAGAGCTCCTTACACCAGCGGGTGAGTACCCTTGTAACTCGCGTTAGAGTACGCAAGAGCTCGTTAAAAAGCAATCAAGCCCTGATGAGTTACCAGAAGAAACTCTTTTCGAAAAAGCAATACGACACGGGCTTTTAAATACTCCTGGACCCCCCCCCCCCAGTGACAGAAAGTTTAATTCATGACCCAAGATCAAAGGTCACAACTTACTGGCACCAACAGTGGTGTTAATCACGGACAAACATGCCAACACACAATTTAATAAATTAACACAAGAGATAACTTCCGTAAGTAACAGTTAATGAATGTTAATGTCTCTCACTATGAAGTAAGAGATATATTACCTAATGTTTAACAATATACGAGTGTTAAGGTCTTGTTTATATATTTACAGCGCGAGTTTTGAGAGATATAACGTATATCAGAGATTATTGCTCAGTAATGGTATATGATATAAGACCTGATTATTAATGACTTAATGACCGATACATTGACATCTGAAGGCATTAATATGTGGAGGCATTAATATCTGGAGGCATTAACATCTGGAGGCATTAACATCTGGAGGCATTAATATCTGGAGGCATTAACATCTGGAGGCATTAACATCTGGAGGCATTAATATCTGGAGGCATTAACATCTGGAGGCATTAACATCTGGAGGCATTAATATCTGGAGGCATTAACATCTGGAGGCATTAACATCTGGAGGCATTAACATCTGGAGGCATTAACACCTGAATACAACATCGAGACTCGAACCCCCGACCATTTATAACAGGTCATTAGCAAAGTCCCGAATCACATTGTAAACATTGATGTTAAGTCCTGTAGAAACAATGCGCCGGGGAACAAGTAGGGAACCTAAACAACGTCATTTGAGACCAGTGGGGAAATTCTTCGGGTTCAGGAGAGACCAGCGGGGAATATTCCCGGGTTCAGGAGAGACCAGCGGGGAATATTCCCGGGGTTCAGGAGAGACCAGCGGGGAATATTCCCGGGTTCAGGAGAGACCAGCGGGGAATATTCCCGGGTTCAGGAGAGACCAGCGGGGAATATTCCCGGGTTCAGGAGAGACCAGCGGGGAATATTCCCCGGGTTCAGGAGAGACCAGTGAGGGAATATTCCCGGGGTTCAGGAGAGACCAGCGGGGAATATTCCCGGGGTTCAGGAGAGACCAGTGAGGGAATATTCCCGGGGTTCAGGAGAGACCAGCGGGGAATATTCCCGGGGTTCAGCAGGCAAGGGTCACCGCCGGTAAATGGTTCGGTTTCCCATTGTCGGGGTATTGGAAACCTGTCAGGGTTATCGAGGCCGCCCACTAAGCCAACGACTGACCTGCCGCAGGAAGCAGGCCACAACAGTCAACTATTTCACAGGTATCTATTTACTTCTAGGTGAACAGAGGCATCGGGTGCAATGAGACGTGGGCGGGTCCAGCCAGCGGGAATCGATCCAGGCCACAATCTGGGGTGGTGCAACATGCTATGTGGGAGGAATGCTCAGCCCTCATATTCCAGCCTCATGGTTCCCGCCACATGGGGTCTGGTAGCTGAGTGGACAGCGCGTAGGACTCGGAATTCTGTGGCTCGGGTTCGATTCCCGGACTAGGCAGAGACAAATGGGCAGAGTTTCTTTCACCCTGATGGGCCTGTTCATCTAGCAGTAAATAGGCACCTGGGAGTTAGACAGCTGTTACGGGCTGCTTCCTGTGTGTGTGTGTGTGTGTGTGTGTGTGTGTGTGTGTGTGTGTGTGTGTGTGTGTGTGTGTGTGTGCGTGTGCGTGTGCGTGTGCGTGCGCGCGCGAGCGTACCTTCCACCAACATACCCCCCACCACCAACATACTCCCCACCACCAACATACCCCCCACCAACATACTCCCCACCAACATACCCCCCACCACCAACATACTCCCACCACCAACATAACCCCCACCAAAATACCCCACACAAACATACCCCCACCAACATACCCCCACCAAAATACCCTACACCAAACAAACCCTCCCACCAACAAAACCCCCACAAAATACACTCCCACCAACATACCCCCACCAACATACCCCCAACAAACATATCCCCCCAACAACATATCCACCACCAACATATCCCCCACCAACATACTCCCCCACCAACATATGGCAGAAGATAAAATAGTGGTGGTGGCAGCCACAACTCTCGCCAAGGTAATATATTAGCGGAGATTTGGCTCGGAGATTCTTCCACTTATTTTACATTATGATACATTCACCAGGTCCTGTTGACGCTACACTGTGGAGGGTGTGGCTGGTGGTGTGGCTGGTGTGGTTGGTGGAGTGGCTGGTGGTGTGGCTGGTGGTGGTGGTGTGGTGGTGTGGCTGGTGGTGTGGTGGTGTGGCTGCTGGTGGTGTGGCTGGTGGTGTGGCTGGTGGTGTGGTGGTGGTGGTGTGGCTGGTGGTGTGGTGGTGGTGGTGTGGATGGTGGTGGTGTGGATGGTGGTGGTGTGTGGATGGTGGTGGTGTGGATGGTGGTGGTGGTGGATGGTGGTGGTGTGGTGGTGGTGGTGTGGATGGTGGTGGTGGTGGTGGTGGGTGGGTGGTGGTGGGGTGGTGGTGGTGTGGTGGTGGTGGTGTGGATGGTGGTGGTGTGGTGGTGGTGGTGTGGCTGGTGGTGGTGGGGGATGGTGGTGGTGTGGTGGTGGTGGTGGTG